TGAGACAAATAAGCTTAAACAGAGGGAAAGTTGTTTTGCTTTAGAATGTGGAGGTTTCAGTTCATTGCTAATTGACCCTGTTCTTCTGGGCCTGTTGTGGCCTAGCACATTATAGCAGGAAGGTGTTTCAAATCGTTTGCAAGTAAAATCAGTGTACCTGTTGTTTTATTATAGCAACCGTGTGATTATATTTATACATTTATAGGCAGCTATTCAGGGCATTATATACACATAAGTATATACATATAAATGTGCACATATATGTATATGGCAACTGACCCTGAGAACTCAGTGTATGAATACTTTCAAGGTGGTAAGCTGGCTCAGTAGGTAAAAGCACCAGCTGCCAATCCAAGGACCTGAATTCATATCTTGTCCAGTTACAAAAGAGGGAGAGCCTTATAATCCTTCAGCTGCTAGTGACCTAGAACTTCCCACCAGGCTCCATCTCCGGGAGCTTCCACCACCCTACAAGAGCAGCACCGCCTAGAACTTAGCCTTTAGCACACGAGGCTCTGGCAGGTGCTTACCTGAACCATAGCAGCAGAACATGCAAAATATGTCTTACCTACTGTGATAGATAATAAGGAATACTTTAATATGGATAGATAATATGAATACTTTAAAATAATAGCCATGTCTGGCTTTAATGCTATAAGGCAACATTAAACAATAACAATAGAAAGGACAGTTTTGAAATGATTGTGAAGGAGTTTTAGTTTTCTGTCTCTGAGGGCTTTGTAAGTTTTCTGTTGGCCTTATTCTTAACTCTTCCTTTTAATATTCAAATATCTGAGCACCTGCTGTATGCCAAGTGTTGCTGACTGCTAAAAGTTCTGCCACGTAGTAGTAACCCAGTGTTTGGTCTGCCCTCCTGTGCCTGGTGGCCAGGTGGTTGGGGATTTTAAGATACTAAAAGTCTCGAGGAAGCAGCAGCATTTCCCATGCCCCCGGCACAGTTAGGGGACTATTTACTGAAAGCAGAATATTGTGCTGTATTTTAATACATTGGCATTTATATTAAAGTGCTTCGTAGATCTGTATAATCAGTAACAAATTTTTCTTAAAAATACATCCACAACTTTATTATAGTACATGGTCTCCATTCTGAATGTACGAAACAGTAGGCTTAAACTTCTGGTTTTTCTCTGACTGGTCATCTTCAGATGTTACACCATGTAGCTGAGATTGCAGAGGCGCAGGCTGATTCTGGGGGCATCTGTTACCTGTCCCATGGTCATGCTAGGAAACCCTGAGCCGTGCACTTGGTCCTCAGTATTTGTTGGAAATCACTAGGGGAAATGGCCTGGTTGTAATAGTCAGATATTGCTTGATTTTAATACTTTACTGTTTGCATCTTGTTTTTGAGCTCCTTAAGCTCTCTTTTCCAAGTAAAGAAGGAACCTGCTTTGGGAACCTCAGAATTGAGTTTTACTTTGCTGAACAGTGCTCTGTTGATGGGAAATGAGATTGAAAGAGGTACTGGGTAGTATCAAAAGAGTGACATGTAATCGAGTCTAGGCATTTGGAAATTAAAGCATTTTTTCTCAAGTGTCACAGCCTTTATATGAATATTAAATTACATGGTATGACTTAGCATAGATGTCCTTTGTAAGGACCTACTCTGTTTACATGCTCACCTGTTAATGGAACAAATTATGCACAGCTGATGGATTTTGAAAATAGCAGCTGTCATCCCCTGTTAAAATCAATCAGTGGCAAGATTGTATACATTAAATCTTATATCGTGTCATGAAAATGTATTTACAATTTAACCACTAATAAGCATGACTGTCAGCTTCACTGTTGACAGTTGCTCGGCGTGCTTTGCCTCCAGATAGTTTACCTGTGTGATACTTTTTCCTTAAAGCTTTGTCTTTTTTGAGTAAAACTACCCAAATACTTTGTTTTACACTTAAAAAGAAAGTATTGCTCAGATTTTGATGTAAGCTTAGAAATGCCCCCCATTCTTTGGTACACTTTAGTTTTTAGGAGCTAATGAGACCAGCATATTAGAACTCATATTTGCAAATGAGTACTCCTGAAAGCAGTCTCACTGGGAGGCTTCACATTTACCCAGTGATGGCGCCACCAAGGAGCCCTCTACAAATGCATTTGGATACTGTTTATAATAAAGTCTGTTTGTAACTACCCAAGAACATGATTTTATTTCTTCTAGCTGCCCCCACGTTTTTTGGACAGTGTGAAGACAGTTCATCAGGCCTAGTTTTGGGTAGTTGTCAGCTGTCCCTAAAACTGAAGTCCCGCTCCTGTCTCTTTGTCATCCCACACGCAGTTAGCCTTTGCATTTCATCTTAGTTGTGTTTTGGGCCCTCCAGGACTTTTAATGGTCTTCATTGTCCATCATCTCAGCCAAGTCCTTTCACGTCTTCCTCACCACTAACCTGTTGAGATCCCAGGCGGATATTTTGGACGGCTGACCTTTTCTGTCGGAGGCAGGACCTGCCTTGTGAATCTCCGTATCATCTACCAGCTACCTTACAGGATACAGTCTGGCTATGCCTTCCTCCTACTTGGTGCTGAGGTTCTAAAACGTCTCAAAGTAATTTTATTCAAGATATGTTAAAGCTGATTTGTTCGAATTCTTAATTGATTTTTTGAGAAAGGGTCCCAGAGTGCAGCTCTAGCTGGTGTTGGACCCATCGTGTAACGCGGGCTCAGCTCAGACTTGCAGCAGTCGTCCTGCTTCAGCGTCTCCGATGTTGGAAATGCAGGTGTGAACAACCCTGCCCCACTCCTGAAATTCGATTTTTAAAAAAATACCAATTCATACTCCTCTTCATCCTTTTATTCTTTCTTGATAGCTCCCTTTTATAGAGCTGGAATGAAAACGAAAACCACGGTAGCCGAAGTTTTTCACAGCTAGAAGTGATGATTCATTGATGTGCCACAGACTTGCACATCCATAAAGAGCAGCCGTCTTGGAACCACGGGGAAGCCGTGCGTCCTTTCACTAACTCAGACTCAATCCTTTTCGGTCACAGGTCTGTGTGGCCGGTCATCACCTTCTGGGTGGGTGCACAGAAAGCATGGCTGACAGGACCTCAAGCTCTAGCCCATGCCTACGTGAGAAACTGAGGGGGGAATTTAGTCTGAGATCAAATAACAGGTTACAGAGGTGAAGGCTGAGACTGCCAGCCTACCAGTGTGATGCCACCACCGGTGTATGTCAAGGTGAAATGTCCCTGTCTTGGTCTCTGTGGCAAGAAAGTACATCCTCCTCTGCCCCTGAATTAGACAGTGTGCACACCACCTTACTGACTGACTACCACGTAGTCACGTGGGATGGGTCATCTGAACACCTAACCAAAGAGACTCAATTTGTCAGTCCTCTTTGCCAAAGACCTTTTCAAGCCCTGAGAGAGTCAAGGCCTGTGTGCTGTGCAGTTGGACGGTTCATCTGCATCTTGTGCTATCCTATTTTCAAACATGAATTTAATTTAATCAGTATTATTAGTACCATTAAAGTATGTGTAATTGCCTCTATGCTTCCTAGTGAGAGTGTTTAATGTCCCTTTTAGTGACCTTCTTCCTGTTTGTGACTTCTGAGTCTAGATACAAGTAGTAAAAGCAGTTTGCTTAATCTCAGCTTGCTTTTTAATGAAGTAATAATACTTTAGACCTCTTCCTAGTGTACATATAATAGTTTACCTGGAGGCAATTAAATAGAGTATTTTTAAAATAATCTAATTAAAATATTATATCTTTGAATTTAATGTTTTCCAAGTATTACTGAATAATAATTATGATTATAACTTGTAAGGATGCTAACCAGAATCTTAGTTTGTGTCACATGTTGTCTAAGCTGATATTTATCACATAGCACTTGAAGAAAGGATTCTAGTGGAGCCCAGGAGTAGAGATGCAGGGGCATGCGCAAGGCCTACATAACCCTTAGTGTGGGGAGTCTTCCTTGTCACTGGGCCGCTTTCTTTTCATTTCTAGAATTAGAAGTAGGCTGTGCTTCATCTTAGGGCAGTAATTTCTGCTACATTTCTAGAAGACTGATTTTGCCTGGGCCATTGTATTATGTTTTTTATATTGACAGCTTCCATTCTGTGCCTGTCATCAAGTGCCAAATGCTTACTTCTCTGTCAGACAACTGTAATATTTTAAGCAATCAAACCATTTGATTCTCCCATGAACTCTTACGAGGTATAAAGTCAGTGATTGCCTTCATCCTTCTGGTGTGAGGTTAAACAATTTGGCCAGTGTCCTCCACTTATAATTGGTAGAGAGCTGAGCATTTGATCAACCATAACATGTGATTGGAAAGTGTAGTGTTAACCATTATGTTCCACTGCCCTTACAGCATCTAAATACTAGATATATCACAATTCAATGTGTCACGTAGTTTATGATAGGATGGGGGCAGGGGCCAGAGGCCTCTGTGGACCTCAGTTAGAAATCAGGGCATCTGTCAGGGACTGTGAGATCAGAAAAGGTAGAAGCTGTGATGCTTTCAATGAGAATGGCCGCCATAGACTCATGTGTTTGAATATTTAGCCCCTAGTTGGTAAAAACTGTTTGAGGAGTACAGCCTTGTTGGAGGAGGTGTCCACTAAGGATGGCCTTTGAGGTTTCACAAGACTCAAGCCATTCCTAGTCTCTGTCTGTCTCTCTCTGCCTACCTACTTGGTAGTGGTTGTCTCAAGATGTGAGCTGCCAACTACTGCTCCAGCTCCATGTCTGCCTCCCTGCTACCATGCTCCTCACCATGGTAGTCATGGGTTCTGATAGTCATGGATTCTAACCCTCTGGAACGGTTAGCCCCAGGTAAACTCTTCTCTGAGTTGCCTTGGTCATGGAGTCTTATCACAGCAATAGGAAAGTAACTGAGACAGAGAACTTTTGTTATGCAGGAATGTTGGGGTTAACTTCTGTCTGGATCACTAGGGGCCTAACTTACTACAGTTCAGTCTTTTAACATCATTGTGTATTTCACTTCACAGTGTTGCTAAATCCTTTTGTTTTCACAGAAACTCAAACAGAAGAATCAACAGCTGAAGCAGATTATGGATCAATTACGGAATCTCATCTGGGACATAAATGCCATGTTGGCAATGAGGAACTAAACTGATACTTAAATCTCTTGCACTACTCATGTGATACAATTGGATTTCCCCCTCAAGTATAATCCTTTGATAAGGATTATTTATCTCTTTACTGACTGGCACTAAAGTTCCTGTTTCCACTTTAAAGTTTTCAGTGACTTTTTTTGTTTGTTTGTTTAATGCTCTTGGTTCTATAGAAGATTACTGTAATAGCCTTTGATAGGGTGTAAGTTTTGGTTAGTCTTCATGAATTGAATAATTGCTTTTTAAAGGCAAAATGAACTTTAATAAATAAATTTTTAAACATAACCAGTGTTGTTGCTTGTTTTAGTTACCCTTTTCAAAGAGAGGTAAAGGATAAATATTTTAGCGTATTAAAATACCAACCAAAGTTTATCTCTGAAAGAAATTAATTAAAATTAAAAACATATTACCGCCTAAGCTCCTTTCTTAATTCAGTTTTTTTCCTTTATTTTCTTTTATTTAAATACCATTTATTTTACATATCAATTTTTTTTTTCAAACCAGTTAGAATAAGAAAATACTTGGTTGCTCAATCACTTTTACCAGGTTCTTGGAGTGTTTTTCTGAATTAGGATGAGAGAGGCGATTTGAAGAAGATACAATCTGGTCACACGCTTAGCTGTGACCTGCCTTGGACCTAGTAGCAGGGGCCTGCCTGTCAGCGACATTCTAGTCCCAAGTATGGTTCAATATGCTGCACTTTAAAGAGTTCTAATCTAGACTATTGTTAGAACGGTGGTTCTCAACCTTCCCAATGCTGCAACCCTTCAATACAGTTCATGTTGTAGTGACCCTCAACCATAAATCTATTTTTGTTGCTATTTCGTAACTATAATTTTGCTACTATTGTGAATCCTAATGTAAATATTTGATATGCAGATGGTCTTAGGTGACCCCTGGTGAAAGGTGATGGGCGTTCCAGCCTGAGTCACAAGCTCCTACCTGGCTTGACTTGACTATGGCAGTTCTGCATTTGACTCTTGCTTGTGGGTTAAGTTTCTCCAAAGGGTTACATAAGAAACTAGTAACCAGCTTCCTCTAGGAAGGAATGGGTGGTTGGGATTCAGAGTTCAAAATGTACTGACCTTTCATTGTCTACACTTTTGCACCTTCTGAATGTTATAGCTTGTTCAAATAGTACTTGATCAAAACTGTACCTTCCATCCTGAGTCAGACAGATTGCCTCCAGTCGTGGGGGACAGACTACAAGAAGAGTTAAATTTACTTTTGCTGATGCAGTTCTGGGCAAGCCCACTGTTGGTGAGAACCACAGGGGAAGCTCTGTATAGTTGCAGGGCAAAAGCAACTGTATGAAACTATGACACAGAGAAGAATGTAGACCAAAAGTCTCGCTTGGTGTACTATTCCACCGTACCTAATGATACTACGGTTTGTTTAGACAGTCAGGATTTCTGTAGGTTTTCATGTGCAGCATAGTCTGTATGCCATTACCATTGTGACATTGTGACTTTAGTATATTATTTACTGACAATACAATGAGGCATGTATGCACAGAGAATAATATTAACCTGAGCTCCACTTGGCTTAGACCTGTCTTTGAACAAAACACTTGGCAGTCTGAGAGCATACCTGTACGTGTGGTGTCTGCACGTCCCTCTGAATAATTTACCTAGCAAGCTGTTAGCAACATAGGATACCTACTTGCATCCAAGCTGCATGTACACCCTCTCTGAATAATGGAATAAGTTTCTCTTCCTTTTAATGACCATCAAACTTAGACTATTCAGTTACACCGAGAAGGTAGAAGGGGGCCAGATCTGGCTTAGACTAAGAAGGCCTAAACAGTCAGATTATCAGGGCGCTTGGGTGTCTTCACTCAGTGTATTCTGGCATAGTCTATCATTTCTCTTTGAATAAACTTTCCTTGCTACTTTCCAGTCTGTGTGGAAATTTTTATTTCATTCTTGAATAAGATGCTAAGAACCAGGAAATGCATGGCCCATGCTGGCCACTGGTAATAATGACACTTGTTAATTTAGTGTTTCTTTCCTGATAACCGTAGTAAAGGGTTTTGATCTAGTGTTTGGGTGTTTTGAATATCCTACTCAGCCACTTAGATCATTAATGGTGCCACAAACCTAGCTCTTGGAAGGAAGGTAGAAATTGCATGCTTTAGGCTTTGAATATATAGAGAATATCTCTGGTGGAGCAAAAATGAGTATGGTTACATTGCTGTAGATCTGTAGCCCCAAGTTATGGGCAGCTGTGCATGCTCTCTCAGAACTGGGGCTACTCTACTCATTTACAAGTGACCATGTGATCATTTGTGAGTGTGGTGGGGCCTATTAAATGCAGACCTCGATAGCTCTCCAATTCTGCCTTTTCTAGAGAGAACACACAAATGGATTAAAGTGCAAAGAAAGGCACTTTATTGTAAGATATGTCCCTAGGCAAGATTACCTGTTCTCTCACCTGTGAAATGATGTATGAGATTAGTTGATATTATGCTCTAGGTTAGAATTGTGCTTGGAAATCTTAGAAACTCAGTTCAAAACAGGTTAATCCTACAAAAGGGATTTACTAGTCCTTACAGTGGCAAAAAATGAAAAAATCTGCTGTAGAAGTAACCATCTTATTCAATAAGAAACACAGGACCAATGCAAAGAAGAAAGCCAAGAGGTCAGAGCTAAGAGCTAAAAACCTTACCCTTCCTCACGCGGTGGTCCTACTTCTCCAAAAGAGACCTACTTCCTGTGTGTCTGTCTTTATAAAGACTTTCTGTTCTGCCTTCTCATTGGTTGTAAACCCAACCACATGACCGCCTTGTCACTGCCTGTCTGGACAGACCTCCAGGTCTTCTATGGTTGGTATTGAGATTAAAGGCGTGTGTCTCCATGCTGGCTGTATCCTTGAACACACAGAGATCTACCTAGCTCTGCCTACCAAGTGCTGAGATTAAAGGCGTGCACCACCAACACCCAGCTTTCGCTATGGCTTGCTAATAGCTCTGACCCCCAGGCAACTTTATTTATTAACATGCAAATAAAATCACATTTCTGTTCAAATAAAATATCACCATAATCTGCCATTACTAAAGTATCAAGAATTATAGCCCAGATCTGATGCCCACAACATTACTTGGTCCACCCTAATTCCTCTTTGTGTCTGCTCCATTTTCTTTCAGTAGAGACAGGGACCCTCCAAATGGTGGGAACAGTGCTCCTCTGTGGTCTGGACATCTTTTCTATATCCTGACCTCAAAAGTTGAGAGGCTTATTCACTCCTAAATTAAAAATCCTCACAATAGACGCAAAACCCTTGAGTAATAAAACCAACAAATGGATCTGTTGTGTACATGGGTACTGCAGTTGAACTAACCCATGTTATAAATCTGTCTGTAGCCAGGACTTGGGTGTGGGTGTCATAGAAAAGCACACTCCCCAGGGAACAAGGATTACAGAAGAAAAGACCAAACAGGAATATTTTGAAGAAAAAGAAACCGTGGTAACCACAGGTAGTGGTGGTCCTCATTCACTGTTATACCATTTCAGACAATCAAGGAAGCTATCTAACCTTCACAACCCCCAAAACACTTACAGAAAGCCAACTACATCGTTCACCGCCATGGGAAATGTCTTCTCGTTTTCTAAGTTTGTAGACTTCTGTATTAGAGTTTTCCTCTGCAGCTGTTTTCTTGCAGCTGTTTCAGTTCATTACAATGTGAACTTGTCAGGTCTTCCTTAGATAGGACAGAGTTAAAAAAAAAAAAAAAAAAAAAAAAACACTGAGAGTTCCAGCATACTGGTAAGGACATTATCTTTAAATGACTTGGCACCCCCCAGCCTTGATCATTCAGACATTACATCCCATGGCACCGTTACAAGCCAAAATGTGTTAATTTGACATTTTGATGTAGTTCCAACTTGAGTGATTCATTTTCTTTCCCTAAATTCCCCCTGCAGCATATGCTAGACAGAGGGGATTTTTAGCCTTGAACTAAAATGTGTGCTTATCCTGAAGCCTCAAGGTGTAATTTACCCTACGCATCCTTAAGTCGTTTTCACATACTGGATACTTCAAATTTTTCTCTAATCCTCTAAAACACAGAAGTGTCAAGGGTTATTTTTTTAAAAAACAAATTGAAAACATTCTCAGTGGGAGAATTTCTTTTTTAACACAAGAATGTTGAATTCTTTTGTCACTTTTTAAAAACTAGTTATTAGGTTTATTGAGTACTTTGTTATCTATATTTTTATACAAATTGACACTGCAAAATGTTGTAAAAGATTCCTTCTTTCCCCCCAAAGTCTTACTTCCACCAAAATGTATTATGCATTCAAATAATTACTAGAAAACTATCAAAGATCAAATAAGCCTATATTTTTCTGTGGTCTAAAGTGTGTATTAATCGTATAACAATTGGAACACAAAACCATGGAGTAGTGTGCCCTTTAGGCCTACTTGTACCTGTTTTCATGTTCTCATTAGGTGTGTTTTCGAAGCAGCATACAAGCGCACACAAGAATCACTGGCGTTGTACTTTTTCATATGCATATTTTTGGACTTGTCACAAATGCACTGAATCGCAAGCTGAAGTGGACTTCTAAAAATCTGCACATTTGACAAATTTTCCAGGTGATCTGCCACTGAGAGTGGACAACAGTCCAAGCAGTTGACTGAAAACAGTTTCAAGTATTTTAAGAGGAGAAGCTGCAAAAATAGTTGTAGTGGCATAAAATAAAACATATGAGACCATGTTTGGAGTCCTGGCTTTGAGGATTTAGTGTTCTCTCAGCACTTCTCAACCTCAACTGCACATTAGAACCCACTGGGGAAATGTTAAAAGTCTCTATGCCAAAGCCACATCTCAGACCAATTGAATCAGAAATCTGGGTGGGGTCCAGATTTCAATGGGCTTTCCAGTTCCTCTGGGGATCTCCACATGAATCCTGAGTTAAGAGCTATTGCCGTATCTAGGTTTGTAGGCATGGAAAGAATTTTGAGGGCCAGCTAGTGTCTAGAACAAAGAACTCTGAGAAGACAGAAATCTGAAACTCACCTGTGCATACCAGTGCTTTGGGGTTGGAGGTTTGGTTTTTGTTTTTAATTATTTTTATGTGTATGGGTGTTTCGCCTGCATGTATGTCTATGCACCATGTGTGTGCCTGGTGTCCCATTGAGGCCAGAAGAGGGCATAGGATCCCCTGGGACTGGAGTTTACAAGCGGTTATTAGCTAGCATATGGGTTCCGGGGATCAAACCCAGGTCCCCTGGAAGAGCAGCCAGTGCTCTTAAGTGCTGAGCCGTATGTCCAGCTGGACAGTTGGTTAATGATACTCTTTTTTTCCATCCACACTTCCACCACCAATAGAAACAAGAGATGACATCATTCAACAAGCAACATTTTTAGGCAACAGCATGATTGTTGCAGGGTCCTTCCCCTCTAAGCAGCTGTGGCACTTCAGAAACATAGTACAGGTCAAGTGGAATCCAAAGAAAGACTCCATTTCTCTTTGTGCCCAGTTCCAAGCTGAACATGGCCACAGCTTGTTTTACACTGACAAGGTAATTAACCTGGATTCTTAATTTACTTTCCAACTACCATTCATCACAGACTCTGGGCAGCAGGCAAGAAATGTGTGTACCTAGATGAGAATTCCAAAATTCTGGAACGCAAGTTAGAAGAGAGTCACCCCTTCATACTGACTCTAGAACAGCCCTTGGATTTCACTTTCATAAGTTAGATACGTGCTCCCCGCCCCCCCCCCCAAAAAAAAAGCAGTTAGTGGACTGACTTTAGTCTCCTGAAATTTAAAACCTTCGTGGTACTTATAACAAACTTCAAATTCAGGGTCTTCTGCTCATATTGTACAAAACTTCTCTATAATTAAAAAATTATGGCTGTATCTGCCCAAACCTGTAACAATATAACCAGACAAAGACACAGGAAGATAATGCTATAAAGATGTTCATCTCTGGAAGATGAGGAAGTAGTGCAGCTTTAATTGTAATAAGGTAGGGGAATAGTTTTCCAAACAGCTTTATGAATCAGGGGGAAAGTCATTTGTGAAAGCGCGGTATCTAAAATCTGCAGATGGTACAGCTAACAAATAAATCAATTAAAGAATGCAAAGTGTGAACAGAAACATAAATGTGAATTAAAACCATACAAACTTCAAGTTATGTATGAAGTAAGTATTTTAACCACTGGCACTAAAATCTTAAATTGAATTCTCTGATGAAACAGAAAGCTGATATAATTGCCTACATAAAGGGTAGTTTGAGAATTACAGCTGGTGAGATGAAAAAAATAAATGTCTCTGTGTTTTGAATAGACAGTAAAGGCATGACAGATGAATAGAGCGCCTGCCAAGACACCAACAATAGTCCAGGTGAGGAATAACTAAACTAACACATAATGCAGATTCCGTAGCAGGCCGTGAATTAAGTAGCAGCAAGCTTGTTTGTTCTCTTACAATGCTTATGGTGAAGGATTCCGAAATGAGATTTGTCCTCACCCACCCATGTAAGGGTGGTCTGTGATCTGTTGACCTAGTTCAAAGGACTCAGGGTGTTTCCTGGAGCAGCTGGCTTCTGATTTTATTTATTTTTCACTGGACTGTCAAAATATTCCATATTGAGTACCTTGTTCAAGTATTGGGTTATTTCTGTTAATTAGTAGTAGTAGTATGTGGCATTATGGTGTGTGTGTGTGTGTGTGTGTGTGTGTGTGTGTGTGTGTGTGTGTGCACATACATGTGTAGAGATCAGAGGACAGCTTTTGGGAGTTGGTTCTCTCCTACCTTGGGATCTGGAAATCAGCTCGGGTTGTCAAGTTTGCGCAGCAGAGTCCTTTACCTTCCAGAGCATCTTCTTTCTTTCCTTGTCGATAATATTTGCTGCATTAGGGACAGTAGGGGGTGGATGAGGAAAGGTC